AAGACGCAGGACCTAAGGGCATGTTGGGCGCTGTCGTTGAGGCAGTCATCCATGGAGGTTCCAATGATGGCAGCGTAGGCAGCGATTGCGGTCCATACTGTACCTGGTCGTCTACCTGTTTGTGTTTGCCCTTTCCTTTTTGGGATTGTCCCTGGGGACCCTTTTTGGATCGCTGCCTTGGTGACTGCCTTCGTCTTGGGGACTTGATCCATTGCGATTGCTCCCAAATGGGCTGCTCCGGCCATTGCTCTTGGTTCCATTGCACTCTTCTGGGTGTGGTTGCTCTCACCTGAGGGACAAAGTTTGGATCCATTGTCTTCCTCCAGGATTGACCACACTTTGCACAATGTTCGTGTTTGCCACTGCAAATGCGCTTGCAAGGGAAACATTTCCAGGGTGCTGGAGCTTCTGTGTTCATCTCTTCCGAGATTCTCGCAAGCAAAAATGGATCTTTGGAATGATGTCTTTGTAGCTGATTGCGGATGTGTTGCAAGCGTCGGACTGACAAATGCAGTATTCCACGCTTGTGAAGGTGCCAGTTCAACCGGGCACGGGCGCGAGCACGTCTTTCTGCTCGTCGCTTTGTTTGTGAAGCCGTGGTGCTCCAATGGAAAATGACGTTCAAATGTGCCAATGCAAAACCTGTTGTAGTCCGAGACCAGAGTGAAAATGATAATGCACAACGTCAGGACCAGCAAGATTGAGCACATTAACCGTTCAGAGATCCACGAAGGCCACAGCCAATAAGACTTTCAAGTGATAGGTTCACTTGCAGAAACCAGAAACCTGAAAAAATCCAGTGAAGAGGAAGCAGTAGACCCTGTCAATACTGTCCAAGTTCAGAAAGGATAGATTCCGGTGTAAGGCCCACCGCAGAAGCAGAAGTTGTAATCCACTGTCGGCCAGTGCAGAGCCAGAAAAAATCAAAAATTCCACTGTCGGCCAGTGCAGAGCCAGGAAAATTGAATTGTACCCAAAATCCACTGTAGGCCAGTGCAGAGCCAGAAACCAAAATTCCCACAGTAAGGCCTGTGCAGAGCCAGTGAATTGTAAATTGTAGATTGCGAAAAGGTCAAAAGGATCCACACGTTGTTGGTCAGCAGCGAGTATGAGCAGGTGACAGATGCAATCAATGTCCCTGGCAATCCAACACAAGCCAAACCAAACCGACAACCGCCAGCCAATTGAAGGGCGGTGGGGGCTGAAAGATACCAATGACCCGTGGGTTGACGACAACGAACCCACTGAGGTGTACGGTCAAACGCGACAAAATTGTGCGGGGGGCAGTTTGAACCGACAACCTTTGGGATTATCCCATATATGAAATGGTTAATATATGGTTATTATATGGTTCATGATGGTTGATAATAATATCTGGTTGGTGGTTAAGAAACCATCTTGAAGAATAAGAAAGTCAATGGGAAGGATGACATCCCATAATATGAACTGGAAAATAAAAATGTTCCAAAGCAGCAACCAGCTTTTCTTTTTTGTTGACAAGTTCTCTTCCGAAAGTTACGCCCTACACAAAATCACCATATGTATCATATGTCACAGTTTGGTCTCAACTCCATAAAGTTTCTGCGGCAGCTTGGCAAGTTGAACTGTTTTTTGCCAACGCCATCGAAGTCAAATCAGCAAACCTCCCAGCAGCACCCAATCGGCCCAACCTTCGGGGCCTTCGGCCGACACTAAGGCGCCACGCTTCATGAGGTAAAGGAAGTCAAAGAAGTTCAATTCTTCGCCCTGGGGACCTCAGCATCCAAGGAATCCAAGCTAATCCAAGCCCTGAAGCATCCATCTTTGATATGAAAATGTACAGTGTCTTTATCTGGCAATAAATATATATAAAGGTCATATAGTAATTAATGTCAATCAATATCAATATAAATTAATAATATTAAGGTTTATTATCTGGCAATCTTTTTAAGGCAATATCACATCACGTCAATGCGCCGGCTTCATGGATTTTGCCAGCAATATGCTGCTGGTATGGGACACGAGCGGTTACACACCTCCATCTGCCAAGCATGTCTTGAAAGACAGTTGCTGAGATGAGTTCATCCTAAAATACAGACCCTTTCTAAACGGAACAACCAGACCCCTTTTTCGCATCCTTTCTACTGTTGGCTAACGGGATTGCGATAATTCTGAATGCCTTTTGTCAAGGTGTTTTAATAAATCATAGCTTAATCATATAATTTTCATGATTATGGACTTATGGATCATAGCTGAAAATTCTAATCATGATGCTATAATTCAATTCTATCAAACCTTAATCATAGTTTACCCTCTGGTAAACTAACATAGCTATGCAAAATCACCCTTTTTTATGGGTAAATCAACTACAAATGGTCCATTTTCCATAGCTATGTAAACGTTTACCAGAGGGCAATCCCCATGATTCATGCAGCATCAGCAACTCTCCGCCGGCACCTCCAACAACTTCAAAACGGGAGGGGCGATTGGTCGCACGGGGCCTTTTTTCGGCAGTTGGGATGAGCCATGAGAAGCAACCAAAGTTTAGGGATCCCCTCTGGAATATCTCAATAATATATCCGAATATAATAATGTATATATATATGAAAATCACCATTGAAGTTGATGTTTAAATCCAACTGTTGAAACAATCCCATAAATATCCTATCCAATAAATGTCAATAAACTTCTGAATATCCCTTCTGAATACTCAGCAAAAAAAACCTCCGGGTTTTTGGATTTTCCCGCTTGCCACCGATGGATGGGGAGGTTATGGGATGTGTCCGTTTATGAAAAGGTTCCCATATCCCATAGGATCCATGGTGCTGGTATATTAATGCTAACATGACTGGGGTATATTGATGGTAAATGTTAGCATATATAGCATACATGGATCCGTCATGGGATATGCTATATTTTACCTACAAAACACTGGGTGATTTTGGACAAGGGCAGTCATGTTGGTGTGCATATTCCAGCACCATGGCTCGCATATTAGGCATGTTTGGGGTTTGGGGATGAAGATCCATCAACAGCCGACGACTTTGAATTTGCACCAGTGTTTTTCGATGGTTTTTACCATGGGAAGCCTTGCCTCATTTCTTAGCATCAATTTCCGCAAATTTGACGTGTGGAGTCCCCATGTCCAATGGGATTTCTAGCCCGAAACCAGCAACCTCCCTGTGTTTCACTGGCCCAAGATGACATCTATGGATATCTATGGATATCTATGGTAACTGATCAATGAACCAGAACCAAATCTATCCAAATCTCAAGGCCACAACAACTTGGTCCACTCTGGGGGATCGCTTTCACGACTGCACGTCTACCATTCGCGCAATGAACTTAAGTGCAAAAGTCAGTCTTGCAGTATTTGGGGGAAAAACAAAAAAGAAAATTATATGTTGACATTTTTCAAACACACAGAGCTTTCGCAAGGATGTTTTTCGACTTGTCTTTCGCGCGGCTTTCGCCGTGCTTTCGCCATGTGGGGTTGGACTTTCGCAGGCATAACTTAGTTTAAGGCCACCTTCTACTGGTAACTGAGAAAGGTTTAGGTTGACAGCAGCTTCGCTTTTTGTGATTGCTTCAAGTTTTCAGCCCAGAATTTTTGGCCCAATGAGACTTACTAATTAAATTACGTGACTTGAGCAATTCCGCCATCCTTAGTTGGATTGGACTCATCCCCATCATCGCCAAAAAACCCATCAAAAAACCCATCAAATTGCCTTGCCTGGCCACCTTTTGCAACTTCTTCCAGCCAGACTCGGCATGGCTGGGCTATGCTGGGCTCGGCTCATGTCACAGCCGATATGTTCAGGAAAACATCTAGGGAAACAGTTCGGGAACTGGGGCTGCTCTCCTGTCGATCTGGCGCTCCGAACGCTGGTCTGCGGCGTTGTGAAGGCATGCTTTGGCTCCCTCAGAGTTTCCCCTTAATTCGCCCGAATTTCGTTTGCAGGTTGAGTCTTGGGGATATAGTGTTCTAAAGAATATGTACCTGCAAAATGTACCAAAAACACTATAGAACACTATAGTGTTCTCTGGGGATATAGTGTTTATAATTTTTATATACCAAAAAATGGTTTGAACAAGTTTTTCTGTACCAAAGGGTGGTCCAGGTATAGTAAATTCATGTAAAAATCAGCACTGAACACCCAACCGAACGCAGCCCCAACACTATCAACCCGCATCAACCGAAAAAACGGGGCCATCTCGGCAGGGCACAAGAGGGAACCACGTCCACGCAATGTCGCAGTGCCCAAAAATCGACCTTCTCGTACAAGGCTCGGCCTTGGGACAGCCGGTTCCAGGGGTTCCATGTTCCTCTCATCCACTCATCCACTGTTGAGCTGCCAAGCAAACAGCAACATGCCAACATGATTCCTGACAACATCTTAGGAAGTATACTTCTCACCCCCGTCTTACCAGATGGCAACTTGTGTATCTTCTTGTGACGCTCTTGTTTTCCCCTCTGGATTGTGACATTCCCCAATATTTGTGTATATATATATAATATTATGATATATGATATATGATATATGATATATGACATATGATATATGATATGATATATAATATATGATATATGATATATAATATATAATATATCATATATAATATATAATATATAAATATATAATATATAATATATAAATACATAAATATATATATATATATATACGTACTATTAAATATATAATGTATTATTAGCATAATATTGGTTGGATTTGGTTAGTACAATCCAATGGAATCATCCACCAGGGCTTCCTTATGGCCTCTTTTGCACCTGGTGTCCACCACGGATCCCATCTTTGGATCCGCAGGGCACGGTCAGCCGGTCAGCACCCTTTGTTGCTGCGGATAGGACCGGATAGGATGCAGCACGGTCCACAAATACAGCACGGCACATGCTACGACTCAGAACTTTTTCATGATAGTACCCATAGGATCCATGGTGCTGGTATATATGCTAACATGACTGGGGTATATTGATGGTAAATGTTACAATATATAACATACATGGATCCTATGGGGTATATGATACTACAATCATCTGATGGCCTACAGCACTGTACAGCACTGGAAGCAGTGGTGAGAAGTGTTGCAGCATGTTGCAGCACCATATCGCCGTGTGTATCAGCTTTGCTCATTCTCTGCATTCTCTGCATTCAGGGCTGCGGTAGCAGCATTTCAGTATCAGAGTGAAGATCGTGCCCCCTGCAACAAAGATAGCCACAGCTGCGCTCCCAAATTTCATTGGTGGCCTTTAAGTATTCAAGTCCTTGGTCCTTGGATGTCCTCGGGTTTAGGTCCAAACAGTGGAAAGGTTTCTGGGTGATTCTATTGAAAAGGAGATCGGCAGTGCTCTTCCTGCCCTTCTACTAGCCTTCGGATACAGACAGAGTCACAGAAAGTCACATACAGTGCATGACATATACATATATATATGTATATTATAATATATATATATATACATATACTAGTACTGTATTATATTCTTGTGCGTGTATCGTGTATCGTGTGTGTGTGCGTACTGTGAACAAATAGATCCTTGTCCTGGATATCGTTTCAATTGATCGTACCTGTTGTGCTGGATGTCGCCGAGCCCCCTCAAGACATGGCACACGGTGCGCAACTGTTTTCCTCACAATGGGCGCTTGAGCCAAGATGGCGTCCCATGCAAATATTATTTACATACCACAAGTTATATGTGTGGTACCGCTGAGTTCCCTTTGACACCCCCCATGTCCGTGGTATCCTTCGGACCACGGACACGAGAGAGGGAACTTTGAATTAAAAGGCTTCTGCTACTCGAATTACGCCTATTTACATAAAACCTGCCATTCGGCTCCCCCTTTCCCACATACCCGACGGGAATAATGGTTCCGGGTTCGCCTACTCTATGGCTGTCGATGCAATGGCGCGTCTTCAAGCTGTACATCGCGAATTATTGCTAGCTAACATCTACTTTTCTGCGTCGGCTAAGCAGGTCACTCACCCGACGGGAGAAGTGGACCGCTTCGCCACCAAAGATTTACAATGCTAACTAACGAATTCACGTGCACTGTGCAGAATTTCGTGCAGATTGGGAATACTGATTGGTACGGACTCAAACGAATTAGCCTAATGCCTCGCTCAGAATCCGCTCAGTTGGTCTTTTCCTGATCATCTGTTCACAAAGACGATACACATCTTATAGTCCAGTGACCATTTAGATGGACAGAGGTGTTCGGCTTACTCCTCGCGGCGGACTTTCTTCCATTGGGGTGTATTCTGAGATTTCTCCCAACCTGCCGCGCGTTTCGGAGCAGCTTTCGGCGATGGAGGTTTCGCAGGTGGTGCCTTGGATGGTTCATAAGACTTCGGCATAGCCTTAGCCTTTGGTGCACTGGCCGATGAGGATGACGCTGAACCAGTACCTTCAGGTTTCTGTGAAGGCTGTGTTGACGATCTGGCTTTTGCGTCTGCAGTGGCACGCTTGGCGGCGACGCTGTCCCCGACTGCTTTGAATACCTCACTCACCACTTCGTCGCCCAGGTTCGGAGCCATCTTCATTTTCATCTCGGACTTTCCCCTCTGCGCCTCGGCTTCAGCGAGTTGAATGGCGTAGGCCATCTTGCTGATGAAGTTGCGAGGTAACGGAATACCGCATTGCTGGGCAGCAAAGAGTAGTTCAACTCTTTGTTCCTTTTCTCTCAGACTCAGATATACCGAGAAAGCTGGGAGTTCAATGCAGTTGGGGAAGCCGTGGCTCCCGGAACGAAAGAAGGTGTATGATTCATATTCGGGAAATGTTCCCTTCATCAATCGTCGGAGAAAGTTGCTAATGGTCACCCTCATCTCTTGCTTCTCCTTTGCATCACCTTGCATTCTCGTCATTGGCATGAGGAAACCTAAGGTCTCGGGAGTGTACCCGGCACATACGAGAAACTCCGTCATCTTTTCGTAAACCTCTAGAGTTTTGATGACAGGCATCATCATGTTTCTCGGCCGCCCAGAGTACATCTTCTCTCCCTCTGACCATGAGTTCTTCTTCCCTTTCTCCTGAAAGAGTTCGTCCAATTCCTGCTCAGTTGGTCGCTTGAGTTTGCCATCCTGATCTTCGCCTGTGTAAGGGCAGAAGTCGTCCAGGTCCAGTCGGACTCGCTTTGTGTCCGTCATCAACGCAAAGTATTCCTCTGGGGTCAGAGTGACTCTCTGGTTGTAGTAGAGTCTGAACATTGCGATGATCTTTGACATCACGGCATTGTCATACAAGTGAGCCGCGGCCTCGGAGACATCGTTGTTGACAAGTCCGTCTCCTGGCAAACCCTTGCTTCCACGTGCAAGATTCTTAGTCCATGCTGGCAGTTTGGATGAAGGTTCATTCTCAGATTCGACGTCCATTTCATCATCGTCTTCCTCTTCAACGATCTCGTCGTCTTCCTGCTGAGTTTCCTCCTCCTGATCCATTTCCTCGTCATCGCCTTCGTTGTAGTCGACCTCGTCAGGGCTGAAGCCACAATCGTTGGATTCAGATACGTTTTCTTGTGCTTGGTGGACCGTATCCTTGAACAACGATTCTTCTTGTCGACGAACCTCCTCATCGAGCTCTTTCTTTGTGGCTTCATCTTCATCGTCTTCAGGAGCTTGTAGTCTATATGGTCGAATTCCACAGCTCTCAAGCTCTGTCCAGCAAACTAGACACACTGCCAACTTCGTCGGCGTCTCATTGAGGCAATGAGGGCAATGACGGCAACCTGAGGTTTGCACCCTCTTGCGTTCGACGATGTAGTCGATCAGCTTGATGCGGGCGAGGTATTGTTCTTGTCCGCCAGGCTCAATGAGATTGTTCCTGAACTGGTTGACGATGTTCATTGCATCCATGGTGATCTCGTCATACGGTTGCTCTTCGGCGTCAATGCATTGACTTGCGACCCTCAGAATGGACTCCTTGGTGGCGACAGTTCTTGACTTGACAGTGCCTGACCGGACTACCTGGTCGTCGCCCGACGGAACGAACAACCGGAGCCATGTCTTGTTGTTTTGATCTTTCGGATCTTGAATCCATCCTCCTTTGATCGCTGAGAACGGGATGATCTTTGGCGAAACGATCTGTCCCGAATCGGTCAATCGACCACCGTACTCCACCATCAAGGTCTCGGTCGGGATGAAGAGGCAGATGTAGTCCCCCTTTCGCGTATCAACGCTCTTCGTGATGGTCCATGATCTATGATCCCATGGCACATATGGGTTGAAGAACGTGAACATACGATGACCTTCTCCAAGACCTCCCGGAATTAACCCTTGCCTCCAAATGCTTCGGAGGTTGGTCTTCTTCGTGATGTGGAAGCAAACCGGTAATGACATGATGGTGTTGGGCGCGATCGGATGCGAGAGCAATGATGACAGCAACAAGACGTCATCTCTGGAGGATCCCTCCTTGTGTCCCGTTGGGGCGCGGACTGCGACTGGATAGAGCAGTAGCCCTTCGTCGGGGATGTGCGTGTCCGCAGTGACCTTGTTGTCAATGCATGTCAGGCTGCTACGATCATGTCCTTGTTGATCCCGAACGCCAAGACTTGTTCACGTACACGACGTCCATATCGGGCACAGTGGAACATGATCTTGAACAGCAATGTCATGCGATAGTTCGCCTCATTGACATTCCATGCACTTTGGTCGTTTGCTCTTCCTTTGGGGGCGAGGAAAACATGCGGCCAGCGTTGGTACTCATGTCTCCAGATGGACTCACATTTGAGTACTTCCTCAATGGGCACCCAGCCGGCGTCGTCACAAAACAGACTTTGTGATTCTGATGCCTTCCCCACATTGTGTCGTAGGATCCTGTTCAGTGAGGTGCTCACCTTGTCCTCATAGCTGTCGAGCCGATTGCCAGTTTCGAAGCGATAGTTTGCCGCATACTCCACACCGCCAAAGTAAAAGCAGTTGAAGAAGTGGGCTCCCGTCGTAGGGATGATTTTCAAGAAACCGTCTTGCGGCGCTTCGATCCGTTTGTAGAAGGGTTTTCTGATGTTGTTGTCGGAGTAATTTGCGATGAACTCTTGTACTGACCAAGTGTCACCTCCTCCTCTGACAATAGCGTCACGGACCACTTCGTTGAGATCAACGACATTCTGGGGTCCCAGCTTGGTAACATCACGCCCTTCAATGCAAAACCTACCATACTCATCGAGGTCTCCAACTTCGGACATAGTCCTGATGCTGTCGTACCACTGGTACTCACTAAACCTCGGTTTTGTAGGCTCATCCGTTTGCCCTGACCCTTCAGTAGCACCTGATCCGTCCTTCTTGTGCTCAGGCGGTTCCATCTCGACGTCATCAGATGTGGGACTATCAGCCTCGAGCGACGCTCGGACGGCCTTTAGCACCTTTCTGACTTCATCCTTCTTCTCATGATCACATTCAAGGTGACCATGTTTGGTGCTACCACAGTACAAACACACATTGACATCCTCAGAGACAGTGAAGAGTTTTCCCAACGCATCCAAGAGTTGTTGTTTTCCGGAAATCTCTGAGTCCCTGACCACATCAGTGGGGTCGTTTGCTGGCTCATCAGCTTCCTCCTCCCCAGGGTGAGCCGACGGCTCGTCACCCGGCTTGGCGTCGGCATCAGCGCCCATGCTGGCGTCATCCCCTGTGATATGGTGCTTTCTTCGATACTGAGAGAATACCTGATCTTTCTCACACTCTGTAAGGCAGCAGAAGTTGATCAGTGATTCATATCCGGGGATTGCGTGGATGATCTTCATGACCCTTTCGGCTTCTGCAGTCTGCAGGGTGCAGTCAAAAGATCCCCGTCTCTTGTCATTAATGGTGCTTGTAGTTCTGGAGGTTGATGTGAATTGAGCCAATGCCTTCTCCAAACCGTGGAGGAATTCGGCAGGATCAACGCTGGCATTGAAGACATTCACAACTCCTTTGGCCATGTTTGCTACATCCAAGACGCCAAGCCAAAACTCGATGATGTCTCCAGTCTTCTCGGCTGATGCACGGGAGAATCCGAAGATTTCGTTCCTTTCCTTCACTTCAGGAACAGCGACCTTCTCGAAGAAGTCCTTGTACGCGACATTTCCGCAATCTTTCGTGACCCTGTAGACCAGGAGCCACTTCTTCGCGACCTCGTCATAGATTCTTTCGCGATAGATGCTGAATTGTTTGCCGCGTCCATTCCGGAAGATCTCCAGAGCTTGCCTCTTCGATACCCTGACCCCCCC